TTGTGACAAACATTTTACAAAATATTAGCAGGGTGCTGTTACCTAAATGCATATTGGGAAGAAGCACAAAACGGAGTCAAGTGACATTTCAGGCGTTTCAATCCCAGGTCACGTCTTGAGAAAATTGCTGAAATAATGGAGGGGGCATTTTTCAAGCAGAGCTGCAGTTCCAACAGCTATGTTTACTTTAACGCTTCACTAGTGACTTCTGATTGGTTGTCATGACCTCATCTCACTGTTGCACCTAGGATGTTGCAACAGTGACATATACATACCCTTCCTGTGAAAAAGATGAGAGTAAACACAACATACATCTTTCAGAAAAGATGAATGGACAGTGGTTTGTTCATTTTAACCATGGGTAGATGTAGTTTATAGATAAAACACCTTGAGTTTCATTTCCCTTGAGGATGAGCACCTATCTTCTTTCAAACCAAGCAGATAGAATGCCGAACTTGAAAAATATGATTGATAAATCTGTGTGAAACAATCTCTTACAGAGCCTTGAATGAAGACCAAAACTGATAGTTTCATAGGTCAAAGGATTCTACTCTGGCCCCTGACCCCTTTGGTCACATGTGGCTTGCAGTATTGGAAGGTTAATATGCAGAGCTGAGTATTTTTAGCTAATTTTTTTATTTAGCCAACCACTAGAGATTTGGAAAGATGTAGAATTTGCTCCTATTTTTCATTTTCTTCATAATTAGTAATTCATAAGTAGATCAACGTGGATAAATCTTCAGTTTTAGCAAGGTTTCCTCTGGGGTCAAAAGTACATTCTGTTTTCAGTCAGGCATTTAAAAATCATGTCTGTTTGTAGAATCTTCTTGATAAGTACATTTCTATACTGATTTAATTTTTTTTAGTAAGATTTCCTCTTTGGTTCTTTGTGTTTGGCATCACCTGTCTGTTTTGGACCTCTCTGACCTAAGCCATCATTTGTTGATTGAATGATAAATGAACTATTATTTATTAGTAAGTGCATCTATAGACTTCAAAGTAAAAAGGCCCGGAGGCCTGTGTATTCTGTTTAAATTGCTGCAAGTACTTGTGCTAAATAAAATTCTATGTCTAACAATAAAATTTTGAGGTTTCCTGATTAAGAGCTCATGGTTTATAGCTTATAGACACAAGTCTGAAAATTAAACTACAGTTATAGCTATAAGAGGATACAAAATTCAGTGAGATAAATTAAAGAAATAATGCTTACTTTTACCGTTGTCTGTCCTATTACCAATGTCTATCCTATTACTTTCTTGATCTTCTACTGGACTGTGCAGTCAAACATAAGAGTTAATTAACAACTTTACGTATGCTTTGTCTCTTGAAATTTTGGGTATTGGAATTGATTTGGGTTAATCATTTTGAAAGATGCCAGAAGTTTTATTTATTTAGTTGCAGAATTTTAGATAATCAGTTTGATCATTTTATCTTGTTAAAGATAACATAAGTCTCCATGTGTATTTGAAATGACCTAACTTAATCTTTTGAGAAATTTAGCATGCTTAAGGAATAATTAAGTATAAAAGAAATACTTCAATATAAAATGTTTAAGATTCTAAGCATTAGAAATGGAGGCCTCCTTATTAGGATGGCAATGTACAGTTCTATTATGATATTGTATTTGATGCCTGATTTTATAGAGTAGTTTTATAAAATTTTATGGGTACATTTGTTAGAGGTCAAACTAGGATCTATTTTTTCTTTTACTTATTTATGTGTGTACTGATTGAGTTACTAAGAATAGGCAGAATTAATTTTTAAAATGGTATTCTGATTTCTTAAAATATAAACTGATATTATTCTACCAAAAATGGTTAAATTTAACACTGGTATGTGCTCTGCTTTATTTACTTTAACTATTTGCTTTGACTCCTTGGTTTCCATATATTAATGTTGACATGGCAAAAATCTTTATAGCTTTATTCTATAAAGAGATTTGTTTGACAGTGTTTATATGTGACAGAGGGAGGAAAAGGTGAAGTTTTACTGCATATCTATGATTAGAGCATGTAAATGGGATAGTTAACTTTATTTTGTTTCTCTAGCTTTCTCCTACTCATTATAAAATGGTTATGAATGGTCTCCATGAATATTGCATTAATTAATCTATCAGGAAAGTTTTAATTGAAAAATGTAAGGTTTTTATGGGATGGTAATTGAATTCGCAACAAAGACATTTATTAAAATTAGCTCTCATTTCTGCAGAAAATGTTTCTGAATATTTCTTGATTGTTATTTCATTAATTAAATTGGCAGTTTGAAATATCTAAATGATATAATATTTTCTAAATAATTCAGGTATTTAAAGAGAAACATTTATCGTTGAAATCTAAATAATAAAAATTCTTTAATTGATTTATATAGTGGTGATTTTAAAATAGAATCATTTTTCATCTGTTGATGCCTCAGTGAAAAATTGACATTGTGTCTTTATAAAATTGGACAAATGAGTCATGTAATTTTCAGTTACATAATCAATAACTTAGACAAATACTACTCCTTTGATGATTTATGTGTGTCTGTTTTTTTATACTTATTTAGATGGGACACATGAAATTTCAGAGTTCATTTAAAATCAAATAGGCACAAAAATTTTTCAATCCATGATTCCTAAAAATTGAAGTTAAAAGTTCTACTCAAATTAACCTTTTATGAAAATATTCTTTCTGGTGGTTATAAATTAGAGTAAGAGTTTGGTAATTCTGGTGACTATATATTTTGTCTAAAGAGTCTGCCTTCACTGGGAATTCAGTCGTTTTGCAAAGAAGATGCTCATGTTCTATCAATTTATTAAAGTCCCACTTCGTTACCACGTTTGAAATTTTTCTAGTTATCATTAAAACATAGTATATCACTGTTTTCATTTTTAAGAATTCTAAGGTTCTGTTTTGGTCTTGCTAACTCTAATGTGCGTGCATGCGTGCGTGCGTGCGTGTGTATGTGTGTGTTTAAAGTTCAATTCACTCAGAGAAGGCAGGGAAGAACATGACAGGAGACCACTTACTCATGGAACAGAATCTAGTAAGGAGGCAATTTTCTTTTTGGCCTATGGTGACCTTTTTTGAGTACATTCCTTATACCAAAGACAGTGTACTGAATGCCTCTATTTCACCCTGTTTAGCAGAGTGCAACAGTGTTCTTTAACTTACTTTTGGTGGGAGGAGAAGTTATAGCTGAAATTTGAGAAAGGCGTGAAAAGTTGTAAGAGGCACAAGGAAGAGGGGTAGGAACTTCCTTCAAATGTGATTTTAATAACTAGTCAAGTGTGTCCAACTGTAGAAAATCACCAAGTGACAATCTGTCTACCTGACAGTGATCACAATGAATTACAAGACTTTTGAATAGCTATACAGATTAGAATAAAGCAGGACCAAATAAAATATCTTTTGTTGGTAAAACTTTGACTTAACAGCTAAGAAACTGAAAAAAAAAAAAAAAAAAACCCTCGTGCTTTGATGTAGAACATTTAAATGTAAAATCTTGTAAAGTATCTTATAAGCCTTTCATGAAGAGCTATTTATGTAAAAGTTTTATTCGAACACGTATTGAAGAATATGTGGTACTGTTAATCAATTTGGTATATATTATAGTTTTCATATATGTAAAACAATTATATCTTAATTAACATGGTGTTAGACAATAATATCATCTGATTGGGGATGTGGAGAGAGTTGAAATAATCCTAGTAAAGTTTGTACATAGTTTATAAAATCAACTATTAAAAAAAAAACAACTACGTGCAGCAATGTAGCACATTTAAAAATAAGATAATTTAGTCTATGCTAATATTAATTCATTATTACTGCTATCAGTTTTTTTTAATCGCCTTATGATTAGTTTGGCAAAAGAATTAGATTTTAAACAAAGGAGAAGATTCTACATATATGTTTTAGAAACATATATCTTTTTTTTTTTTTTAGTAAAGATGATTTTTAAAGCTTTATTTTCCATTGCTCTAAAGTTTTTTCATAATATAAAACATGTTTTAAGTATGACCTAACAGATCATTCAAGGCAAAATTGGAACACCCACAGTACAGAATTGAATAGAAAAGACAAGATACATAATACCTTAAAAAATTTGTGTGTGTGTGTGTTTGTCAGTGGTAATTGTCTACCTTTCTCCAATTTCTCATGGTTAGAATATTCCATCAGTAATAACAATATAAATAATACAGAAATTTTTGTATTATTGCTAGAATTAAATCAGACAGAAAAACAAGTTTTTAAAACTTTTTAAAAAGTTTAATAGCTCAATAAGCTGTATTTTAAACTTTGGAACTTGTCTCCTAGTACCTGTTCATTATAAAGAGAGATATTTATGGTAGTTGGAAAATGAAAGAAACTTCAGGATTAGCGAGTTGCTTCCATACATTATAGTAAGGTCTTTTGTTTTATGATTTTTGCGACCTGAAATAAGAGAGGTAAAAAAAAAAAAAAAAACAATCCAAGGTGCACAGGTGGAGATTATATATTTCTGATAACATAGATATGTAAATCTGGAGAATGTTAGATTATATTTTTTCTTTTTTATCATTCAGACAAAGAAAAAATGCTTATTAAGGCACAAATGTAAAGGAAAGAAAATCCAACAAAATGCAGTTTGAATTGTAAAACTTCCGTTTCAAAGAGGTTACTTTCTCAAAATATCTATTATAAATACTAATGTGGTTTGAAAGTGTATTTTTTTTGATAATTTATTTCAGTCATTTTGGGGTCTGGAAGATATGAGATACTTTTTTTAAAATTTAAGCTTTATAGCTTTATGTTACAATTATGTCTTTTTGTTCTTATAGGTAATATATACTTATTTACACACAATATAAACAAACAATTTTAAATGATTTTCTTTTAGAAAAATTAAAACTATAATTTTTTATAATGAAATATTTTAATAAACGTGCAAATATATTAAATAACATGGAATTTTAAAAACTTTTTATGAATTGAAATGATTTCTAGGATTAAATTATGCTGTCTTCTTTGCTTTCAAAACAGGAAGGATACGGTGTAATAGTTCTGAATCCCAATGAAAACTATATTGAAGTAGAAAAGCCAAAGATACGTGTAAAATCATCTTCTGATAGTTCATATGAACCAGCAGAAAAACGGGAAAGAAAAGATAAAGTCTCTAAAGAAACAAAGAAGCGACGTGATTTCTATGAGAAGTATCGTAACCCTCAAAGAGAAAAAGAAATGATGCAGTTGTATATCAGAGTAAGTAATAACTAAGACCATTACTTCCCTTCATTATTTTCTTTATGTTTTGTTTCACATAAATTACTTCCTTTTCAAAAAGAAAATATTAATTCTTTAATTTTTAATCATTTATTTTTCATGGGTGTTACCTAAATGAAATGTATTGTTTTTTATTCAGAATTACAAACATATTATTCTTATATCAGTGTGATATTTTATATAAGTCTCAAAAGCAATTAATAATGCACCATAAAAAACATCAGTCTTCATCTTAGGTGGTGATAGTTTTATTGCATTGTTTTCCTACAAGCAACCATCCATCCATAGTGTCTCAGCTTAACTTCTGAAGGCAGATGGGAGAAGGAAGAGTAATTAATATCTTAATAAATATTTAAGCTAGAATAGTTTAGAGAAAACGTAATGAGGGAACTCTTTCCTTTGCTCTTTTCTTACCCAGAGAACCTTTGCACTTTGTAATGCTGGCAGCATGAAATCATTGTAGCTGTACTGCCCAAGGAGTTCTAATTCTGTAGGGGGCAAAAACAATTTTATTTGCACTTTGACATTCTGCTTGATATATATACTGTGCATTCTATATATGAGACAGACTCATGCAATTTTCAAAGCCCTTATTATGGATGCTAGAAATATAATTTAATAGTAAAGCATGTCAAAAATGCTACTGGATAAGTAAAGTAGTAAATTGATATGTTCTTCAAAAGTGAGCAATTCAGAACATTTAAACAGACATTAACATTTTATAAATTATACTGTAAAATAGTAGTATAGTTTGAGATTATTCAGCTTGAGCTATTTTTACATTTACTTTAAAAGCTCATTAATAAAATATTTCATACCACCTTTGAGGGGAAATACATGGCTTTCAAAATTATTTTCTTTAATATATTTCTAGTTCAAGGCATAATTACTACACTTTGGGGAATTGTACTCCACATATTCAAGACATTTGATTATAGGTCAGTCTGTTGAGTAAGTTATGATAGGTAAGCAGTAGTGAAAGCAGCATATAAATTCTCAAGAGCCCAAAATATGTGTCCTGACCAGGAATACCCAAATCATGTCAAACAATGAGTCAAGCAAAAGTTTGGCAGATTACATTTAAATTTCTGAAAAGCATCTTATTAATATATTATTTGAAAAAGAAAAATAATTATTAGACATGGAATCAATAAGTAGCTTACTTGTTCCAGTGCATTTGTATTCCTGCCTTTTCTATGACTGCATCAGGGTCATTATGTCACCTTCTTTATCAGTCGTCCTCAGCTTCCTACTATATGATCCAGTCTGTCAACCACCATCTTATGATAGAGTTTTAAAAAAACTACCTCTAATATCCAGATTCCAAATAAGAATTGTATAAGGTTTTTTTTTTGAAATGTACAAATCATTAAAAGTATTCACTTGCCTATGTAAAATTCACACAAAAAGTGATTTTGTGTATTGTTTTTTATTGCTTCTTAAACACTTTTATTTGCCTACGATATGTTCAGATTAAACAGCTATTTGTGACATGTCTAGTAAGTTTTGATCTCTTTTCTATTTTCTCTTTATTTTGTCTTTTGTTCTCTTGTATGTGTGCATTTTCTTTATTCTGTTTTTCACATCTATTTAGTTTATCCCTACCTCAACTTTTTTCTTATACCAAGAGAAAAAATCTTTTTATGTTGCTTCATTGTTAAGATCTGCTCTCTTTCTCTTTATTGTTTTTCTTTAATTCTTTGATCTCTTTTATACTTCTGCTTTTATACTTCTATATTTTTACTTCTTTCCTTCACATGTCTTTTGCCTCTTTCTTTCTTGTCCCATTTCACTCACCAGTCTGGGTTCCCATTGAAAGCACTAAAAGGCAAAAATAAACTCATGTAGGTAACAGAACCTTTTATCTGATAGTCTTAGTTATTAAATGTTATTTTCCTTAATAAACAACTTTCTCTTAAAATCTTCCAGAATTGTGCAAAATAGCAGAGTTAAGCTGATAGTTCTCAGACATACTTCTATATAGTAAGGCATGATCCTATAGTAGGAAAGGGAAGAATGCTTCATTTTGTGTAATGTGCGTTAGTTAATTCTTAGGTAATTTTGATCCTTCTGAAAAGTGACTGCTAGTACTCTTCTTCCCTCTACGTATCTCCAAATAACAAGTGTTTGTAATTTTCAGACACAGAACATGCTATGTGGTAGAGATAAATTAACTTTTATTTATATACTTCTTAAACATTTACATTTTGAAATTGATTATTCTTTGGAACAACCTCGTGAGGTAGATATATCAAATTTTATCCTTATTTTATAATTAAGGAAAGTGCTACACAAATGGTCCATTTTTGTCTGGGACCACATAATAATAAATGGTAGAACTAAGTTTTGAAACCAGGACTTCTAATTACTGTACATTCTTGCTCCCTTACTTGAAACCACAGTGTTGTAAGTGGTTAGGAAAAAAAATATGTATCCAAAATTTGAAAATTAAACCAATTATGATAAAATCATGATATGATATAGTAAACTATCTGATGATTATATATATTTTTGACCCATTATTATTTAACAGACACTATTAAATATCTATTATGATTTTATATACAATATATATTTATGACATATAAGTAATTATAAATATATATTGTATTATATATTAAATACACTTTTTCTATTAATAAGATCACTAATATTGATCTAATTTTACAGATGAGGAGACTGTGGATAAAACTTAGCAATTTTCCCAAGGTCACACAGTTCATAATATAAGCTTCATGAAGGCAGGGACTTCATCTCTTTTGCTCACTGCTGCATTCCCCAGAGCCTAGAACAGAGCCTTCGTGATAAATATTTGTAAAGCAGAACTTTCACAATAAATTTTTATTTGAAAATAATGTGGTGTAGTCGGGATTAAAATTGAAAACCACTACTGCTTTTCTTAAAATATGCCCTCCATTCTTAAAGTATGCTACTTGATTTTCTGTGAGAAAACATTCAAACAAACAAACAAACAAACCAAAAAATTACATTTTTGGTCCCCTACCTAATACAAAGGCTGAGAATACATTCCAAAAATTAATGATAAAAAAGTCAGTATGTCAAGATTTATTTGATACCTTGATGTATACATTTTCATCCAAATGTGTAAATATGGGATATCCTGTTTTCCTTTTTAGCTACATCATCGTGGTGCTAAAATTATGGATAAAAATGGAAATATTTCATGCTGACCAACTGCCATTTCTGCTTTGCATTGTTGCTGATAAGAATCCAGCCAGGCTGCTGAACTTGCTCTCCTCCGTATACCCTTTATGCTTTATGGGATCTGTAACCTGGCTTCCTCCTGTTCTTTCCCTTAATCCAAATTCTATCTATGTGGTAGTGCCAAGCTGATTCCCACCTTTTCCTCTCACCATAATCAGTGACTACTCCTTACTCTGACTCATGGATGCTATCATGATTAGTTAACTTATATGGAATTGATCATGCTATTTTGAGATGTTGCTTGTGGTTTTGTCTCATATTATTATTACCAATTTATCTTTCACACCTGTCCAACAAATCTCCCCACCATCTTCTAGATCTTTTAGTATGCTTTATAGATTTTGGAATTGCATGTCAATCCTTAAGAATAAGCTAATACGAGCCAGTTGTTCCAGCAGTACAGAGCATACTGTGAGGAAGTTGGGTACTGATACTAAAGTGACTCACTTAGACTCCAACCCCCTGGAAGGAGACTAAAACAGAAAGACTAGGCCTTAATCTTGAAATACCTAGATAATATGACCTGCAGTGTAGAAATAAGGGTTATTCTGGTATCAAACTGGAGCATAAGAGGACAAGTACTCCAACTAAAGAAGAAGATAGAAGAACTTTACAGTACATAGGTACAATATAGGCAAAAGTGATTTGGTGCTGATCTATGTAATACTGGGTTGAAACTGCTCAAATATCTCTTCCCTAACAGACTTAGTTGTAGGCTGTGGTGATAGGAAGTAAAGAAGAAGGCTTAGACTCAGAACATTAAAAAAAAAAACATGCTGAGAGTGGAGAGGGGAAATAAAATTATATGGCCACACAAGGAAAAATCCAAATGTAGAGGAGACATACACAGAATAGGAATCTTGGCAGAGCCTGGCATTACACATTGAAGATACTCAAATATTTATGGATTGATTGCTTGTTGACATCCATCACAAAAATCTTATTCCTTAACATATGAGATATTTTGTGTCTAGTTTTCTAACTGATATTTTCAGCATTCATGTGAATTTTTGCAATTATTCAGAAACAGCCAACTCTGATAAACTGAAGCTTTCTTTGAAAAAATATGTTTTTGAAGTTCTGACTTGGGTTATGTCCAAAATATTGGTGAAGGCTAATAAATATCCTGTCTTCTCTTTTGTACCTCTTCTCTTCTGTGCTGATGCCACTAGAGTCATTATATCTAGTGTTTTAGCAACAAAAATCAATTTATTTATGTTATAATCAATTGTTTAATCTCTGGAACCATTTTATTTTCCTAAAATATCGAAGTATTTGAATTTTCTTTTTCTCTGGCATCTAGTAAATAGCCAAAATCTCCTTTCAAATTTTTACAACTATCTAGTACCCATGGGCAGAATTAAAATAGAATTCAGGTCTAAAACTTTAAGATTAGCAAGGTTTAATTTTATTTTACTTATTAAATGAGTATAAATAGACATAACTAACTATTGGATTATGGAGCACATTTCTAATGCATTAGGAGTGGGCCTTGAGAGATCAAAGTACTTACTGTTTCATGTGGCAACTTTCCTTAAATATGAAATAATGTACTTTCTGGCATATATTATGGCTTATTAAGGGGATTGATTTGGTCTAGGCAATAAACATCATGTCAGACATGCCTGGCAGGAAAACCTGCTTAATATGTTTTGTAATAAGACGGAATTTTTTGTTCTCAAAAACATCTGCCAACCGAATTCAAGAGTGAAGACAGAAAATGTCATCAATTTAGTGGTAATCCTATAAATTTA